TAAAATACACAAAACGCTGAGGTACATTCTTCACACTGATGTCCCCCCCGCCCCCGATGTGTGCAGTTACATCTATACAGTTGGTAGATGCTACCACGAAAGGCCGTACATATTACTGCAGAGCGGGCGGGGGGATTGTGGCTGGTAGCAGCCCAGCCCCAGCCTGCCAAGGTGCCACCTCGGCTGGCTGGGCAATCTAGGCGAGGCCGGGGGCTCTGCATGGGACTAGGCCTCACCACGGCAATGTTAAGTACTATTTCCTTGCTTCTTTTGCTCAACTCACGTTTATAGAAACCAATTTTTTAAATAATCACCTTGCAAATATTACATTAATAATGTTATTGTGCAGACAACTAATATTTTTATTTCTTGCTTCTTTCGCTAAACTCACATACATAGAAACCTATTTTAATAATCAACTTGCAAATATTACATGAGTAATGTTTGTGTGCAGACAACTAATATTTCAATTTTTTGCTTCTTTCGCTAAACTCACGTACATAGAAACCTGTTCTTTTAATAATCACCTTAGAAAATTACAATATTTTTGTTTGTGTGCTGACAACTATTTTTTCTAAATTTACTTGGTGAATGTTATTCTAATTATTATTGTGTCTAAGTCCTTCTGTGCGTGTGAGTCCATGTGCGTGTCTGCCACGATGTGTGTGTATGTCCGTGTGTGTGTATATACGTCGATGTGTGTGCGAGTCGATGTGTGTGTGCGTGAGTTTGTGTGTCAGTCAATGTGTGTGTAAGTTAAAATTAAAAACATCAATTATGTGCGTGTAAATCGATGTGTGCGAGTCCATGTATGTGTGTGTAAGTGCATGTGTGTGTCGCTGTGTTTGAGTCGATATGTCTGTGTGTGTGTCAGTCAATGTGAATGTGTAAGTAAATGTGTGTATGTGGTGTGTGTAGACAACTAATATTTACAATTTAAGTTAGTATATTTTTTTATATTTACGTGTGTGTCTAAGTCCATGTGTGCGCGTGAATCGATATGCATGTCTGCAAAACTAGAGTGTGCCACTAAGAGGTGGGGCCTTACCATCAGCCCCACCAAAACGAAGCACCTGCTTGGGTATTTTGTACCATCGGGCACTCCACCCCCACAACTCCCAATCGGTGATGGGGCAGTTGTGGAGAGAGTGGAGAGTTGCCCATACCTGGGCAGTGTGCTCATGACTGGCTCCGGTTTAACAGCAGAGGTATCACTCCGAATCAGTCGAGCGGCATTATCTTTTCATCAGTTGCCAAACGCTGTGTGGAAGCTACCTGGTCTGTCGCTCCTCACGAAGCTTCGGGTCTTCTCGGCCACAGTCATTCCCTCCCTTCTCTACGCTTGCGAAACGTGGACCCCCATAATGGAACATCTAGGCTGGCCTGCCTACGATCCATCCTGGGTTTAACCAGGCTGGATTGTGTGCGGAGCTCACAAATCCTCGAAAGATCTGGACAAAGTCCCATCGGTGAGCTACTCCGGCAGGCAAGGCTGCGTTGGCTGGGTCATGTAGCCTGTATGCCCAGCCACCGCATGCCGAAACAGCTTTTGTTCGGCCGGATCGAGGGGGCTAAACGGACGCGGCACGGGCTAGAGAAGAGATGGAGTGACGTGGTACGGGAGGATGTGGAGCTGAGTGGACTTGCCGATGACTGGTACCAGCGGTGTCAAGATCGGCCTCTGTGCAGGAGGCTCGTGAAGGATGCTACTGGGCAACAACAGAGGGCCGAGAAGCGACGCTCACAACAACGAGCGGAGCGCCGGGTGGCTAAAGCACAGCAAGTTGGCACAGTAGAGGGCATAGGTGGTGCATCAGCCAGTCATCTCGGTCATCTCAGTCAGTCGACCCGTGGCACCTGGTTCTGCCCCGTGACCTCCTGCCGGCGGGCGTTCGACACTTCACGTGGCCTCAAGGTGCACATGGCCTGGCACAAGCGTCGTGGTGACGTCACCGCCACTTAGTGGCGAATGGCGGTTGTTGTGAGTCGCTGTGTGTACGTCCATGTGTAACTCCATGTATATCTAAAGTCGATGTCTGTGTGTGTCAGTCTATATGTGTGTGTAAGTCCATGTGTTTGTGTGTGTATGGGTCAATGTTTCTAATAGTGTATGTAAGTCGATGTGCGTCTGTCTTTTTTGCCCGGGCAACGCCGGGTACTTCCCGCTAGTATTAAATAATCAAATGCACAGCACACTCCAAGGACACAACCAGAGATAACATTTGCATATAATTGGCATATTATTTTCACACATCGTGCACGCTCAAATTCACGATTCAATTGTGTTTTGTGATCGTATACGAATTGTTTTTCATCTGTGAATGTTCATCAACACCACCAGTTCACTGATGATGGCCTGCCCACACAGTTGGAAAGCAGTAAACATGCAACGGTGGACCAACTTCGGGCCAACGTTGGATCAACTTCGGGCCAACGTTGGACCAACTGCGGGCCAACGTTGGACCAATTTCAGGCCAAAGTTGGCATGTCGTTAGCACAATGTTCCATGTTTGCTCCAATTCATTTCCTACACATGAGCCGATCTCATCGCTCCATCTCCGCTGCGCTGACCACCATTATGAGCCATCCTTCCCTTGATGGCAGCTCCTTTTCCACTGGATCAAATGTCTCCTCAAAAGCGACAAAAGCCAGGCATAGTCGAACTGTATTTGAAATTGTCTGCAATATGATAGCATGTGGGCAATGGTAGTTTTTTTCCCTCCACATTAAGAAACATGCGTTACTTTAGGGTATTTGGCTGCTATACATTTCCACACTATAAGCCACTTCGTTGAGCTATCATTTGTGGCCCGGTCGCTTCTAAAAATAGCTACATAGATCAGAGGGCCTTAATTGGTTAAATAATTTAAAAGTTTATACTGTGGTTAGTTAATAGTTTTAAACTTGTTTCTAAATCCAGTTTGCTGATGTTGCTTGCTTGGCCTTGGAATTGTCCATTGTGGTTTTAAACATGTTTGTGAATAATTGACATAGATATGTAGACGTGGAAGGTACATTCTATACACGTGGAAGGATGTTAGTCATAGTTTATAATTTAATAGTATGCATACCTACAATCTATAACCATATGTACACACACACGTTTGCCTTTGTACGCATACACTCGATTAAACCTTGCATATACATATATGCTTAACTCAGTCGAACCGATTGGAGCAAACTGCTCACAGTGAGCACTTTTACAGCGTGACAACGATTAACGTCTCCCAAGAGGGGTTATTGTGATGAGCGCCACTCATACGCCCTGCTGCTTTTGTCCCCTACTTGTTTTGAATTTTCGCACCGTGCTTCATGTACTATATTTTAGGTTTCTCTGACCTTAGGTAGATTTGAACAAGGGCCGGTTCATCAGATGACAATACAAGTTCCGTGTATATACATGGACACACGTGCATGTACACATTTCCATATGCACGCATAACACATGCACACTGCAGAACTGTGTACCCGTATATGCACATAGTGAATGCAATCATATACAAGCGTGCAATACTCTTAAGTGGTCGCTGTGTATACATTGTGGAGTATAAGTTACGCATTGTACACACGTATAGTATAAGCAGTGCTCACACGCATAGTCATCAATGGCGAGACGTGGACACGTAGGGCATTGCACACGAATACACACGCACGTAGTACTGTACAATTAGTCCAGTGCTATACTATAGCACGCAATGGGCCTTATCCATAGCACTGGCAGGTCGCCGGGATGTTGGCTATCAACAACAAGGCAACTCCTATGACTAATTGGGAATGAGACGCAAGCGTAGGATTGATCACCCTGTCGCTGGCCGCCTTTGGGGAGGGTGTATAGTATGAAAGGCCGAAACACCCTAGGACCCAAAGGTTCACTACTGACGATGCGCTCCCCAAATTTCACCAGGCTCACTGTTCATGAACTCTTGGAAGTGCTTGCACAAAGGATAGTAGCATCTCATCCTGTGTTCTTTGGAATCCCGCTCCGCAGAATAGTTCCATTCAACCAAACATCCCCCGTATAGCCACAACAGACTTGCTGGCTGCAAGTGCTGTCAACGAGGACCACCAATGGGGCAAGGCACACGCGGTTGGGCGTGGGCCAGCCACCACGCCCGGGCCGCCTTCGTCTCTCCACGAGGCCTACGCACGACGCACCACGACACGGGGATGCAAAGACGGCCGCGATTTTTATTGCACACTTAGATACGGTACTCGGCTCACTTCATATACTCGGGCAACAACCGACGTATACTCAGCTCGGCACTCTAGCAGGCACGCACGTGGAGCTCGGTACTCTAGCAGGCACGCACGTGGAGCTCGGCACTCTAGCAGGCACGCACGTGGAGCTCGGCACTCTAGCAGGCACGCACGTGGAGCTCGGCACTCTAGCAGGCACGCACGTGGAGCTCGGCACTCTAGCAGGCACGCACGTGGAGCTCGGCACTCTAGCAGGCACGCACGTGGAGCTCGGCACTCTAGCAGGCACGCACGTGGAGCTCGGCACTCTAGCAGGCACGCACGTGGAGCTCGGCACTCTAGCAGGCACGCACGTGGAGCTCGGCACTCTAGCAGGCACGCACGTGGAGCTCGGCACTCTAGCAGGCACGCACGTGGAGCTCGGCACTCTAGCAGGCACGCACGTGGAGCTCGGCACTCTAGCAGGCACGCACGTGGAGCTCGGCACTCTAGCAGGCACGCACGTGGAGCTCGGCACTCTAGCAGGCACGCACGTGGAGCTCGGCACTCTAGCAGGCACGCACGTGGCGCTCGGCACGGCACTCTAGCAGGCACGCACGTGGAGCTCGGCACTCTCCCAGGCACGCACGTGGAGCTCGGCACTCTAGCAGGCACGCACGTGGAGCTCGGCACTCTAGCAGGCACGCACGTGGAGCTCGGCACTCTAGCAGGCACGCACGTGGAGCTCGGCACTCTCCCAGGCACGCACGTGGTTTGCGCGCGCGCCGCACTTCCGGGTGCCTCGGCGCAAGCCACGCCCCCTTCTTCCCGTGCGTGCCGTGCCCCTCGTCCGTACAGAGCGTGTGGACGCCGTCTTCTATCCCCTTCTCACAAACAAACAAACAACAGCAGCCGTAGCAGCCATGGACAACACGCCGAAGCAGCCGTACCAGGGAGACCAATTGGCGCGTCTGAAAGAGAAGGATAAAAAGAAAGAGAAGAAGTTCGGCGACGAGAGCGACCACGCCAAGAAGACAAAGTTTGTGAGTACAATGTTGTCCCGCTTGTTGAAAAGCAGGAGCCCTTCTTTCCTCCTTGGTCCGGTATCAACGTCGTCGCAACGGGAACCACACCCCGCTCCCGTCCGCCCTCTTTCCGTGCTCTTCCACGCACACAACTTCCACAACGTTGTGTATATTGACAATATGACTGTGTACTAAGTCGTATAGGCGTGCGTGTGCGTGTGGTGTGTTACTCCTATCGGGCGTTGTGCTGGCCACAGTGCCGGCCTTCGTAGACGCTGCTCGCTAACAGCACTTGCCCCAAACACTCTGTGTGGTGTGTAAAGACATCAGCGCTGGGGAGACAAAGGCGGCCGAGCTTGGTGGTGGCCACCCCCCTCTCCTCTCGAGGACCACACAGTGCCGGTAGCATTCGTAGGTGCCCCAAAAGTGTGTTTAGGTTGGCGCAATGGAAGGGATTTGGTTATTTAACGCTCCTCAAATCCAGTCCTTCCCGAGTTTGATTCCCAGGCCACGGTCGACATCGTCAGTGGTGAGTGGATATGATCTGAAAGCAGGCAAATGAGTCGAAGTATGGTCAAACAACATCGTGCCAAAAACACTTGTACAGTGCTGTACATTGTATGTGTGGGTCAATAATGTGTGTGTGTACAGTATACCAAAATACTTGCTCGGGCATAAGAGGTGTGTTGACTGGTGACATGAAGTGCAGTGTAGGGTGCACTGTGTTAATATAGGTGTCAGTCACATCACGGTGCACCTAGCCTGGCACAAGAGCTGCGGTGACGTTCTGTGTGTACACGCACGTGTAACTCGTACACGTACGTATGCCTAAATCTGCGTGCCCACCAGAGTACCGCTAGTGGAGATGGCGGTGGCTTTGGGAGGCTTTCATCCAGCAGTGGATTGACCATGGCTGATGTTAAATGATCTAACCTGTAAAGTGTTGTATAGTGTGTATATGTGTGTCAATTTGTCAGGCTCGTGGGCTGGACTCTTGTGTTGACAGATTCAGTCAATCAACTATCCAGAGCCATTGAATTGAATACCATTCTGGACGTCCGATGGACGTACTTAAGCCCAGCCATGGGAATGTGGAATTACCACTGCAAACATATCGTACGCTCTCCCACACTGTATACAGGAAGAGTGGTATGGAGGTTACAATATTTTGGAAATACGACTGTACAGACTTGTATGTTGAACTTCTTTCGCACCGTACGTACGTAGCCAACCGTACTGTTAAGAAAAGCAAGTGGCGAGACTGAACAAGGGAGTGACAACCGAAGTATGGAACTTGCCCGAGATAACTGAGTGATGAATTCAGCTCGTGCACAGCATCCAGAGGGATTCTTTCATCGCGTGGCCCTGGAGGGATGCCGACAGCACGGGTTGTCCTTCATCCAGCAGTGGATTGGTCAAGAGCTAAAGGACTGCTGATGACTATAATATACCACCTTTGGAACCTCCTTTGCTAGTAGCAAAATATGATCATTGGTATTGTGGTCAATGCAAACATGACTCCTTGTAAAAAAGGTGCCAGTTTTGTTGCCAGATTAAAGGGTAAAAATTGTTTTTACTATAATATAAGCACAATTACTACTGTACTCGTAAGCTTTAAAATAATTTTACTACTTGGACCATGTGATCAGTTATCACCTGTTCAAAATTGACACCACACTATTCACTTGGCATAATTAATCTGTTATTAACTTCGTACAGTGTGTATTTGATAAAGCATGAACGTCTCACATCCGAAAGTACGAAGGAATGGAGACGTTTCGAGACCTGGCATTAGCCATAATTAACTGTTAATCTTTACTTCAATTTCAAAAACACACCGCCTGTCATGTACAGTGTACTGGACACATACATGAGGGTGCCGTTACAGATGATGGTTATCTAGTTGAGCTTATGACTAACCAAGAAGTGTAGAAAGAACTGCCTGCTAAGGTCATTTTGGCACAATATTGAATATAAGAGCAGTATGCATATGACTCACAAAACACTTTCCAAGATTGGTATATTGGGAGAATTGATGGCCAGTGTTTTGCCAGTCATTCATCGTATCCCCAACACTGACCTATGCCAGCATTCTGTTTGTGTTTGCATAATGCATGAAGGATACATACATTCATGACGTGCCCAATAATGAATACAAACTACAGGGCTTAAACGAAGCTCATTGAACCTGCCAAATAGGCTCATTAAAATGGTTGTACCATGTGTGTAGGCATGAAAGAAGAGGTATATAGATTGTCATTGGCAGCAAATTTTTTGAGTACTGTATGCTGTATATTCGCAGTATTTTCCATGTAAAGAAAAACACGACGCGGAGTAAAACTTTTAATGAGATGTAGCAATGGTAGCATGCTGTCTTCCTTGAATGTACAACATGTGACATTTTGTTCAAGGCACAAACTACTGCTGGGATGTCAATCAGCTTAAATCGGCTACCGTGTGTGTTTTTTTAGTCAACCGAAAACAGAGTAACTTGACCTTGACGTTAACTCCTATGTGTTTCTTCTCAATATCTGCCAGTTTGAAACAAAGCACATACAATTTCAGGAGCATCAAAAAAAGTGTAACAAAAATACAACTTTGCTTCATGGAGGCATAGTCATCATGAATGTTCACCGTGGCTGAAGGTTAGTTTCAATGCAATTATTTCGCACCGTACCATACATAGCCAACCGTGCTAATCGGAGGTGCCACGCGTGAATTAACGAGCTTGCTCTGTTTACTGTTTATTATTGCCATGGTTTAATGGTTAGCACACTTGCAATCCTTAGGTCACCGGTTCTATCTCTTGACGTGGCTGTGGAAACAATGGGTACGTTTCTTAATTCCCACTGGCTATGTCCACCTAGCACCGGGGCCGGTAATCTTTGGCTCCAGAACCACATACGGCTCTTTAAGGACTGCTTGGTGACTTTATTGATTAAGGACCACCGTTTCATATTTGCATGCATTACAGCTCTTAAATTTTTTTTTACCGAAAAAAAAGTATATTATTATTTTGGTTGTCGACCCCTGCGCTAGATGGATCCTGTGCAGGAGCTTGATGGATCGTGAGACCATGAGGGACGGTGATAATGGGCAGCCCCTTATCCAGTAGTTGATATATCATGGCTGCTGATGACCAGAATGATATGGCGTAGTAGTTATCACACTGGTTAATGCATTACACTGTAATGCCAGTGCCCTGAGTTTGATTCATGCCCTGGGCTAACAATACGTGACAATGACAACTTACTCTTTGGTTCTTTTGGTAAAGTCACGTTGGTATAAAATAAATTAAATCTTAGAAAAAAATGACAACTTAACCCAGGATATGATGCAGCATCATTTAGCATGTAGTTCCCATGATACATTTTTGACCATACCTTTCCGATGAGACCCTGACAGTAAAAACTGGTTTTCTTGCCGAAGTAAATGCTGTTGAAAAACTTTGGTCAAGTAGGCCTAGAGGCCCATAAACAAAAACGTGTAAGTAGATAAATGTCCTTCCTGTCTGTTTTTTTATAGAGTACAGTAGTTGCAACAACGACTTCCTGTCTGTTTATTGCATATTCATCCAATACTATATATCATGTTTAAGCTGCATGCTTCACACCATGCAGACAAATTAATGTCAAAGGTGGTCTGTTGGCATTTAAGAAACATAAGGCATTACTACTACAGCCTGCAACTTTGACCACACCTCATTCTGTCGGAAACACATGTTCCCACTTCCCGGGTTCAGAGTGTTTGCAAGTAAAACACGTGTGCCAGATGTTATAAAGGCATCCTCGGTACAATGTGAAATATAGCTGTTCATAGGACAATAATACATCTCCACAGCTTGTAAATGTAGCTTAAATATAACAGTCAACAAGTTAATTTTTCAATTCATTGACACGACAAGCCTATTTCGGAACCATAACCCCTGATTATTTTTTGCAATTGACTGCCATTTTTTGTGCTCTTTGCACACCCCTTGATAACGTTGTCAATGTGTACGGTAACATTGTGCAGCTGCAGTTACATTTGTTCCACTTGCTAGTCACATCGTACGGTGCGAAAGAAGTTCAACATACATTTTCCTCAGGTTCTAAAGCGTCTGCTTTTTTTTCATCTTAAGTCTTTGTTTGTGCACGTGAAAACTTCAAATTGTTTTTGCAATAACCATCACCTTATTTTTTCCAGAACCAGGTGACCAAAAGCTGTTGTCAAAAACAAGTCAAATTGGTAACGAGAAGGGGAACAGTCATGTAATGCAGTATACGCATTTTGCTCATGGGTGGCGTTTTTAAGAGGGGAGTACTTTTAATGTTATATTTCAGTCTCTTTCTCAAAACTATATGTATGCTGTCCAATACTGTACTGAACGTGTTCCTGATCGACTCATGAATGCTTTGCAATCTCTTATGTTTTTCTGTCTCATGTGCCGGTTCGTGGTGGCAGCCAAAGCAGATCTGCAAGCACGAGATTAAGTTGGACGGGAAGACTTACTCAACAGCGTAGCAAGGAACAAAAATACCCAATGAACAAAATGCCAATTTAAAACAACATACAAGTATGGTAGTTTATGTGTTAAAAAGGCTCTTGTTAATTATTTCCTATCTTATGTATTTTGGGCTGGAGGATTGATGTGGCAAGGCGTACTTATGATTAACGATTACATTTTTGTCCGCTCTGTGCGTTGTGTGGAGCAATATGAATACTCTACTACAGTGCATTCCAATGTGAACACTCGGCAGTGGGAAAACTTGGGCGTAGTTAACTGTGTGGCATAAAAAAAAATACAATGAGTTGGGTCATACGATATTTTTACCCGTAACGGGCGTGTTTTACAGCGTGTCATATAGCTCCTGTGGTCCAAGCTCGGTTACCTAACCAATCAGCTGTCACCTTAATACATATACTTTGCCCTTCGGGGACTTGTAGCACAATAGGGTCGTTGGCCTCCAATTAAAATTTCTATTGATATTTTAAAAAATGCATTGTGTTTGCAATATGAGGAATTTACTTGAAGACAG